CTTTGGCCGTTGAACATTGAGTGTGTGATCTGTTGATGACAACCTTTGGCACATGGCTTCTGTTAGCATCTTTCAAAGTTTGGTGTAGAGAATTGGACTTTCAGTTTGATCATTTCAATTTGGGTATAAGAGATTGAGTTGAAAGTTTCGTGTGATTATATAAAGATACATAAATATTTTCCTCTCCAAGTTTTTTCCTCCAACTTATTTCTCATTCAACAACATGTCATTATGTTACATTTATTTCTTTTAAAGAATAATATCTTGGTTGGTTGCAGTGGCACATGTCTATAATCCCAGAATCTAGGGATGCTGAGGTAGGAGGTCCTCAAGTTCAAAGTCAACTACAACAACTTACTGAGACCCTGTTTCAAAATTTTAAAAAAAATAAATAAAAAGGACTGGGAATGTAGCTCAGCAGTAGAGTGCCCCTAGGTTCAATCCCCAGTACTACAAATAATAATAATAATTTGATGGGTAGAGAGATAGTCATGGCTATAAAGAAGTAGCGTAAGGCCAAGTGCAGGGTCCACACCTCTAATCCTAGTGGCTCAGTAGGCTGAGGCAAGGAGATCAGTTTGAGATCAGCCTCAGCAACTTACCTTGGCCCTAAGCAGCTAAGTGAGACCCTGTCTTAAAGTAAAAAAAATAAAAAGTACTGGGGATGTAGCTCTATGGTAAAGTTGGGTTTTTACAAGGGGGTTCAATCCCCTGTACCAAAAAAAAAAAATAGTAGTTTGAGAGATATTCTTGGTGATGGATTATTCTGTATTGTGTGTGGTGGTGATTATATGAATGGAGATAAAAATACATAGAATATACACACGTGTCTGATGACAGCAGAATAAACTCTGAGGATTGTTCTAACTTCAGATTCCTAGTTTGATATTACATTACAATTACTGAAGATGGCTACCATTGGGGGAAAATGAACACAGCACCTCCTTGATCGTACTTTTGTATATTTCCACAAATCTATGACCATTCCAAAATAAAAAAATTAAAAGATAGGGTTTTTTTAAAAAAAAATAATTGACAAAATACATGCTCATAACTTAAAGAACTAGCTCTTTCTGATTCCTATCCTTTCCTGAGCAGAACCACCATTATTAGTGTGTAGACTTCCAGGCATTTCCTTGGATGTACATACATGGAGGGGAGGTCTATCAGGGGCCCAGACCATAATGGTTCATCCTCTCCACCCATTCTGTGGGAAGAAGTGTTTCTAACATTCTGCTTCATCAAAAAGAAGGCTGCCTGCTGTGAATTACTGAAGCAAAGGCCATGGGTAACTTAAATTTCTAACATGAAGGAAACTGACACAACACAAACTCTGTCCCCATCCACAGAAGAGTAAATCCCATTTCCCTGTGATCAACAACTGGGTAATTTCAAAAGGAGACTATTTCATTACTTGTGAAACATATATATTAGATTCCCATTGGTGCTGTGAAAAACCACCACAAACTTAGTTGTCAAAAACAACACAAATGTACTGTCGCAAGTGGGCAAAACTGCAACGCATGCAGTCCAGGGGGAGAAATAAAGAATGTCCACTTGCTTCTGCCCGTTTCAATGTTTTGTTCATTCAAATCACTCAATACAATTTCACTCCATAGGTTCTTAATCAAGAAAATGACAGGGCTGGGGATATAACTCGGTAGAGTGCTTGCCTTGCATACACAAGGCCC